TAATTTAATGACGGAGTCCTATAAATGTAAACAAAGCAGAAAGTATTTAAAGTATAAAAGAACAAAACTCTGGACAATTAACTAAAGAAGAAATACCACTAGTTGATAATTACAGAAAAAGTGTTCACACTCTAATAATCAAATGCATTTAGATTAAAAAAATTTTTTAATGTTTATTATTTTTGAAAGAGAGACAGCATGAGCAGTGGAGGAACAGAGAGAGAGGAAGACACAGAACCCGAAGCAGGGCTTGAACTCATGAACCTCGAGATGATGAAGAGGTCAGACGTTTAATTAACAGAGCCATCCAGGCACCCCTAGATTTTTTGTAAAGAAGATCATTTTTACTTACAATCTAACAAAAAAAATTAAAATTATATAACAACATACTGATGAGTGAAATATCACTGCTATACATCAATGAGTTATATAACTTTTAACAATTATTCATAAAAGTCTTTAAAACAGTTCACACAGGGGCGCCTGGGTGGCGCAGTCGGTTAAGCGTCCGACTTCAGCCAGGTCACGATCTCGCGGTCCGGGAGTTCGAGCCCTGCGTCAGGCTCTGGGCTGATGGCTCAGAGCCTGGAGCCTGTTTCCGATTCTGTGTCTCCCTCTCTCTCTGCCCCTCCCCCGTTCATGCTCTGTCTCTCTCTGTCCCAAAAATAAATAAACGTTCAAAAAACAGAAAATTAAAAAAAAAAAAAAGTTCACACATTTCAGCTTAATGATTCTATGTGTGTGTGGGGGGGGGAGGGAATTTATGCCAAAGAAATAATCCTAAAATTTTCATACAAATTTATTACTTGTAGCAGTAATTATAAGATCAAAATTTTGGAAAAAATCTTCTTATCCAACAGTTGGGTAAACTCACTGCATGGAGTTATGTAGTTACTGTTAGGTAGTTATTTTTAAATGACATTTAAAGTAATTCTATAACAACATGGAAATGCTTAGAAGAGTAAACAAAAGGCAGTATTGGTCAATAAAAATATTTAAATTTGTCTAAATTAATTGTTAATTAGGGAAACAAACATTTAAACCCAATGACATATTACTATGTACCCAGCAGATTGGCTAAAATTAAAGAGACCAAAAATACCAAACATGCATGAGAATATGGCACAAGAACCCTCACGCATGGCTTATGAAAGCATAAACTGGACCTGCCTAACACTATCTAATGAAGTTGAAGATATGCATAACCAATGATCGTATAATTCCATTCATAGGTATGGAACCCAGGGAAAATCCTACCCATGAGCACCAGGGTACAAGAATGTACAAGAATGCTCATAGCGGCAGTAATGGCAATAGCCTGAAACTAGAAATTTCCAATACCCAGTAGGATGGATAAATTGTGAATTTCTTGTGCAGTGAGCCAGAACACAATAAAATGAACAAAAGACAACTAAACATCACAACATAGCTTATTTTCACAAACATAATGTTGAATGAAAGAAGCAAGTCATAGAAGAATATGTGTTTATTATTTCATCTATATAAAGTTCAAAAAAATGAAACTATCTTGTTTAGAGATATATAAAAAGGTAGCAAAACTCTAAAGAAACACATATTAGGTTCCTCTGGCAATGGGGAAAGACAGCAGGAAAGTGGAGGTCTTCTCTGGCTCTGGGAGGTGTTTCATTTCTTGACCTGGAATATGACTCTGTGGGTGATGGCTTTACAATATTTTAAAAAACTATACATACATATCTTTATATATTATGTAATGCATGTTTTATGTTACGGGTTGAATCTTAGCCCCACTTCCCCAAAAGAAGATAAAGTAAAACCTTGGATTGTAAGTGACTTGTTCTGTGAGTGTTCTGCAAGATGAGCAAACATTTCTAATAAATTTTAACTTGATAAACGAGTGATGTGTTGTAATATGAGTAGTACATGACGCCTAACATCACACGATCACAACCAAGCCAATGGTTCTTGAAATTTACTTTGATACATGACTGCTTTGGATTACAAGCATGTTTCTGGAACCAATTATGCTTGCAAACCAAGGTTTCACTGTATGTTGAAGTGCTAATCCCCAGTACTTCAGCATGTGATCTTGTTTGGAAATAGGGTTGTCGCAGATGTTATTAGCTGAGTAGGAGCAGGATGTGCCCCTGCCACAGTATGACTGGCGTCCTTATAAGAAGATAGCCGTGTGAAAACACAGACACAGACACAAGGCCATGGGAAGATGAAGACAGACGTTGGAGTGATACACCTATAAACCAAGAACACCAAGGATTGTCAGCCATCCCCAGAAGCTGGGAGAGGCACGACCCAGAGTCTCCCTTAAAGCCCTCACAAGGAACCAACCTTGCCGACACCTTAATTTCAGATTTCCCGTCTCAAGAACTGTGAATAAATTTCCATTGTTTTAAGCAACCTAGTTTGTGGCACTTTATTATTACGGCAGTGCTAGGCAACTAACACATTGTATTTGCTTTCTTTCTTCTTCTTTTTTAATGTGTATTTATTTATTTTTGAAAGAAAGAGAGAGAGAGCGCACAAGCGGGGAAGGGGCAGAGAGAGAGAGGAAGACACAGAAACTGAAGCGGGTTCCAGTCTCCCAGCTGTCAGTGCAGAACCCACCGCAAGGCTCGAACTCACGAACCATGAGATCATGACCTGAGCTGAAGTCGGACGCTCAGTCTACTGAGCCGCGCAAGGGCCCCTACATTGTATTTTTACATTAAGAATATTTTTTAGGGGCGCCTGGGTGGCGCAGTCGGTTAAGCGTCCGACTTCAGCCAGGTCACGATCTCGCGGTCCGTGAGTTCGAGCCCTGCGTCAGGCTCTGGGCTGATGGCTCAGAGCCTGGAGCTTGTTTCGGAATCTGTGTCTCCCTCTCTCTCTGCCCCTCCCCCGTTCATGCTCTGTCTCTCTCTGTCCCAAAAATAAATAAACATTGAAAAAAAAAAAAAAAGAATATTTTTTAAAAGGTTCCAAGAATTTATATTTATGGTGTCTAATTTCTTGAATAAATCACAAAATCTAAAATAAAAAAGAAATCATCCTACTTTATATATTCTCTGGAAAAGTTACACTCAAAGATACAATCCGAATATAAAAATAAAGATCGCCTATTCAGAAAAGAAAACTATGCAGCACATCTAGTTATACCAACAGGTCAAGAATCAATTGTAGATGTCCAAGTACATTAAAAAATAAAGGATGTGGTTTGTTCCAAGTTGGCCTGTAAAAATTTCATTCTGACCCTTTGATTCCTTTCCTTACCGGAAATTCTCCAGTGTCTGAAGTGACCCCACATTTGGCTTTTGGGAAGACATTCTTATTCATTCCATTTCCCTACAGAGCAAAGAAGGGCTGACCTGGAAAGACACCTGACCCAGAATTTCTCAGGGGTGGAATACTGATGAACACAGATGACTCTGTACGAGACCGTCTTTGGTTAGAATTCTGCTTTCTGCAAGTTGGGAGTACAGGCAGCCTCGGAGTTTATAGAACAATGTGCTTTCAGAAACCTCACCGGGGGGTTGATTTTGTATAGGATACTGAGCATGTTTGTGGGAGTATTGCCTTTCTCAAGCAGTTTCCATGTGACCAGAGGATGCCATAAAAAAGGGCATAAAGGAGCAATCCATGAAAAACCAATTTTTAAAAAATTAACCAAACAAAATGCAATGTGATTTCTCTACTACTTTCAAGTTTTCAAATACCAAAAGAGAGCAATGCACAGAAAAGACTTCTAGAAAAATGAGGTAGAATAGTACAGTAGTAAGAGATTTCAGAGCCAGGCTATCTGCTTTCAAACCTCCGTTCTACTGCTTCTTAGCTTGAGGGAGTTATTAGCCTCTCTAAGTACAAATTTCTTCATCTGTAAAAATAGGATAAAAATTGCCCCTATTGTAAAGGGTTGCTAAAAAGATTCGATAAGGCACTATATGGAAAACATTTAGCTCAGAATGCTGCACATGGTAAGTGCATAGTAAATATTAGTTGCCGAAATAATAATAATAATAGTAGTAATCGTAATAATAATACCTTTCCAGATTTGTACTTGAAGTAGCTATAAAAATTTCCAGTAGAATTGATTATAGAGTAGGCCCCCAGGGGTCATCGCGTTCACTCCATTAAATTAGGCGAGGAAGACAATTTCAGGTTCTTAAGTTGACCATTTTAGTACTTAACATTCTCTATCAGAAAAATAAAATTCACCTCACTTTCTTGGTGTGTTGGATAAGTGGGTTTGGTTAAATAATTTCTGTGGGACGTTCCAAATACTACAAATTTGTATTTGTAACAGCCATTATCAACCATAAATCAAATATGTCTTGAAGTCACTGTCTTTCTTTCAATGAGTATTTCTATTATACTGGCTTCTACCCCTTTCCAAGCAAAATATGACCTTTTAGGCTAGTTTGGTGGTCAGTGTTTGTGCTTTTTGTTTTTCTCCAGTGTACCCCAAGGGGGCCTTGCACTTGAATGGCTCGAGTGCCTGCTGTTTTCAGTCAGAGCTGGGCAAGTTCCACAACACTCAAGTTTGCTTGGACCAAACTTTCAGGTTTCCCAGCTTTGAAAGAGTAGAACAGGATTTTGTGAAATATGCAAAGAAATTGATGATTTTTAAAACCAACTGTCTGAGCTTCAAAGGTTGCAGTATAAACTTTCTTTTCAATGATATTTGCTACCTTATCGATAAAAGCTATTTAGTTATTGGAATCACTTTGTATTTCCCCATCCATCTGGGGGTAAGAATTAAAACTCAAGGAACTGCGTTCCAGCTTTTCTGCGGACATCCTCCCTTCTCTCCCTACCCTTACCCAACCCCGGTACATTTGCTGATTGTCCAGAAGATGGCACTGTTGTTTCAAACGCCTGGTTTCCCAGGAGACCAAGTTACCCTGGAAAGAACGGATCCCGTAAGGCAATCAGAGGTTGAAAGGGAGGCGGTGAGAAAAGTCTCTTGAACTTGGGAAATAATGGCAAAATATGTTTGCGAAATTGTCTTCCTCAATCTCCCTTTCTAGGGGCCAACGTGAACATGAAGACGAACAACCAGGATGAGGAGACGCCCTTGCACACAGCTGCCCACTTCGGCCTCCCTGAGCTGGTGGCCTTCTACGTGGAGCACGGTGCCATCGTGGACAGTGTGAACGCCCACATGGAGACCCCGCTGGCTATCGCCACCTACTGGGCCCTCCGCTTTAAAGAGCAGGAGTACAGCAGGGACCACCACCTCATCTGCCGCATGCTGCTGGACTACAAAGCTGAGGTCAACGCCAGGGATGACGACTTCAAATCTCCCCTGCACAAGGCAGCCTGGAACTGTGACCACGTGCTCATGCACATGATGCTGGAGGCTGGTGCGGAAGCCAATCTCATGGATATCAATGGCTGTGCTGCCATTCAGTATGTGCTGAAGGTCACCTCTGTGCGCCCAGCTGCCCAGCCTGAGATCTGCTACCAACTGCTGTTGAACCATGGGGCTGCTCGAATATACCCTCCACAGTTCCACAAGGTGAGGTTATATCTAAAGGTGCCAAGTATAGAACAGGGTAGTCAGTAGGGTTCCCAGAGACTTCAAGGATGGTTTGGTCTCAACTCTTCTGGTGACTCAAGCTTATTTGAGGCTTGAATCTTTGGGCTAATTCCAACTGTCCTCACATTTGCACACACAACCCTGGCTACTTTGTCGTGGTCCAAGTTTGTCTGAAATCTGGGGCTGAGAGCTAAGAATGAAAACGAGAGTGGCAGATATTTCTCCATGTCTCGGGTGAGCACCAGTGAATTGGGAGCAGCTTCTGCCAGGACTGAATTGAAAGAGATCAGAAGGCCACTTTAAGGCTATTGGAGAGGTCAGTAGTGTCACACAGGCAAATACTGGCCATCTTTTAAGCAGAAGATATTTTAAATTACACATGGAATTGTTCCTGCTTTAAATTTTTATCTCTGCATTGTCTCCAGTAACTCATTCATTCTAGAGAAACCAAGCTATTCATGCCAGGAATAAAGAAGCATAGACTTTGGGGTCAAGCAAACTGAGGTCTTGCCACTTACCTAAGAATTTGACTCTGAATACATTACTAAACCTCCTGAGCTTCAAATGCCTCCCCTGTGAAATGGGTACACTCTGCCCTTATGGCTTGGCAAGAATATGCAGAGTCGGTCCTACATTTGAAGGAAATTAATCTTACTGGTAGCACACAGGTATTTTCAGAGCCCAGGGGATGGTGCAAACCTTTCTTTACTCTTTCTCTGGAGTCACTGACAGTCTTTGCAGTCTCTGCCCCCACCCAGTCCCACATCTGTGAGTACCACTCCTTTGATCTATGTCCATCTTCTTTCCCCACACACACCTCATTAGGCTGGCCATCTTCATAGTGCAACTTCCAGAAGACATACAAGTGATCTCTTTCAAACACAGCACACTCCATGAAACATACTTTTCTGTGTATTTATGTTCTAAGGCCACCTTCTTTCTATAGAAGAGGATGGAGAGGGACGAAGGGCATGGAGCTTCCAGAGAAACGTACCTACCTCATTTAATTGTGAATAATAATAGCCTTCTCGGGGCACCTGGATGGCTCAGTCAGTGAAGTGCCCTACTCTTGGTTTCAGCTCAAGTCATGATCTCATGGTTCATGACTTCAAGCCCTACACTGGGCTCCGTGCTGATGATGGGGAGCCTGCTTGTGATTCTCTTTCTCTCTCTCTCTGCCCCTCTCCTGCTCGCTCTGTTTCTCTTAAAGTAAATCAATAAAGTCAGACAATTTTAAAAAAAGAATAGCCTTCTCATAAGTTTGTTTTGAGAATTAAATGATAATATTTTAGAAGTGTTGGCATTGTGCCAGGGCTGTGGTAACCATTGAAGAAGTGATGGCGATCCCTTTGCTATTATTACATATTTCTTGATCAGTAGAATCAGTGCTCTGGGCCTGGTTTACCCACAGGGTCCTTTCCAACCAGGAGAGACAACATGTGAGACTGTCCAGAGGCGAACTATTGAGTTTTAGTCTGAGACTCACTGCTGGTTGACTGCAGATGAAACAGGTCTCTGCAAAAGTAACTAGAATACCCTCTCCTCATTCCCCGTTGAGAGCCAGATTAAGGAGAACAGGCCTTCCCATGGAGCTTCTGTTCTCCAGCAAGAAGTCTTTCCTGCAAATGTGAAGAATGTCCCTTTCTTTTCACAAAGGCACTCCTCTGAGAGGTGACAGTGAAGAAGGTTAGAGGCAGAGGCTTAGTGATGAGTCCTGGCTTGGCCATTTACTTGCCGTGTGATGTTTGAACAAGTCGTTGATCTCTCAGATCTCAATTTCCTCATCTAAAAAATGAAGGTAAAAATATCAACTTTTCAAAAACGTTTCAGGAGTAAGTGAGTAAGATATGTTAACCATCCAGCCCAGTAGTGGTACTCAATAAAATGGTTTCCTTTCATACTCCTCCTCTCAAAACGCATGCTGGGTCTATTGTGGGAGTCCCTCCTGCCAGCCTAACTTTGGTGGCTCTACCAGCCTGTAAAATAGGTGTACGATTATGTGTTCCAAGGACACTATCCAGAGTTAGTGTGTTCTTAGTTGTGTTTTGCTTCTCTGAGTTCCTCTGGTTTAGCCATATGCTAAAGAGATTTAGGATAGAATTGGCTACCGGTTGATGGCTTGTATTCTAAACATTTTTGTTGCTACCCAACAGACAGTGTGAGAGCACTGGCCCCCTTCCAAAGGAAAACTAAAGAAAAACTATTCAATTTACTATGCAGATGCTTCAAAGTGATTTAGCACAACTACTCCACAGCCCGACTTTCCAAAGAGAGAGTCATCTTTACGACAAGTAAATGACTGACTCATTTATCCAGAAGATAAAGTGATTTGTTCTCATGTGGATGGGGAATTCAGTTTCCTTATTTACAAGGAACAAGGTCAGAGCTGAAGATGCTGTCTTCCAAATACAAAGCAAATTTGTAGAGGGTGTATTTCACTGAAAGCCAATGTATAAATTACATAAGGGAAAAAAAAAAAAGAATTATAGGGTCCGCAATTGCTTTCCAGGGTACAAAAGGACATTTGATTTTTTTTTTTCTCAAAGCATAATTCAGAAGGAAGTGACACCCCAGGGAGCCAAGATTGGGTTTTCTTGTAGGGCAAGAAAGACATTTTTCTAGGGGAGGGAAATGTACATGAGGGTTTGGGAGAGGGAAGGATGATTTCTGCCGTTGAACAATGCTGCAAATGAAGCCCAGAATACAAGCAAGTTTTTTGATCATTAAGTACTTTTCTGCACAGATATATCAACATAAAAGGGCAGAGGTAGTCTTAAGAGTTTCTCTGCTGACGTGGCTTACAGAGGCGGCACTTGTAGGGGAAGGGTGGCAGGGAGATTTATCTTGAATCTGTTTTTTAATCTATGCTTTCAGGGGTCAGATGATGAGGGGAAGTATCCAAAGGTGTCTCCAGTTGCCACCAGCGTGGGAAGAAATTGTTGTCCAGTTGTTCCTCGGTGAAGAAAGAATAGAGATCCCAGAGACAGAAAGTGAAATTCATTGGGCATCTTCTGTTTTCCAGGCTGACAAAGAAGGAGCAGAATCTTCTCCCTTTGGGTCCACAATAGTCCTTTCTCATTTGATGGTCAAGGTTCCTGGGAATCAGTGTATTGTGATGATTTGGGGATTGCTGTCTCTTAAGGATCTTTATCATTGTTGTTGCCTAGTGTAATAATTATTGAAGCCTGAAGACAGTGTGTCCAACTGTCTTAGTTCTGGAAGAATCCTGATGTGCCAGTGAAGAGAGCTGGGAGGCTGTCAGGCTCCTCAGAGGAGCATTTCCTGCTGTGAGAACCATCTTCTGTCAGCAGAAAACTTAGTGGTCAGTGTCAGCAAAACCTAATAACAGCAGTGGGAGCTTTGGACTTCGTGCATTGAAAGACTGCAGGTTAAGAACTACTTAATTCTTTTTTTTTAGCCTCATGAAAGGTGGCAAGTTATCTCTCTGTGATATATGGGAGTATACCAGGCGCAAATTGAGGCACCAGATGTGTGAATTAGGCTCCTGAACTATGAATGGATGGTGTTCTTGTAGCCATAACTTAGTTGGAACTTTTTCTGAATAGGGGCTATGAATGGTGTTGCCGAATAAAATACAGAATGCTCAGTTAAATATGAATTTTAGATATATAATAAGTAATCTTTCATATAAACATGTCCCATGCAATGTTTGGGACATGGCTACACTGAAAATTCTGTGCTATCTGAAATTCAAATTTAACCTGGCAGTCTGTATTTGTTAAATTTGCAAACCCTAGTTGGGAAGTAGGTAATGTGTTGCAAGATGTTGGTCATCTGTGATGAAGGTGTTGGCAGAAGGGGAAAGTAAGGAATATCTGGGGACAAATTACCTGTGTTGGGTATGTGAGCATTTTGTCTTTAAATGTAACCAGTGTGGCTTCCATGTAGAGTGAATGCACCCAGGGAATTAATGCAGAGCAGAGGCCAGTTTTCGGAGTGAACCCTGAAACTATGTGCTAAACCTCATTACAAGCTTTCTCATTTCTCCATACTTTTATAGCTTTTTGTTTTTATAATTCCAGTATAAATATATATATTTTTTTTAATTTTTTTTTCAACGTTTATTTATTTTTGGGACAGAGAGAGACAGAGCATGAACAGGGGAGGGGCAGAGAGAGAGGGAGACACAGAATCGGAAACAGGCTCCAGGCTCTGAGCCATCAGCCCAGAGCCCGACGCGGGGCTCGAACTCACGGACCGCGAGATCGTGACCTGGCTGAAGTCGGACGCTTAACCGACTGCGCCACCCAGGCGCCCCTCCAGTATAAATATATTTTTGATTCAAGCCTTGGATTAATTTCAGCTATCATCCCTGTACTAGTAACTCTGACATTTAAATCTGTATTTTGGATTATCAATTGATTACCAATGTACTTCTCACCACATATCATCCTTTCAGAAAGGATTTGTCTGGAGGTTTTTAGAAAAGGATGTCTATGGAGTTCCGGATAGTTGCTATTTTTATGTTAGCAGCAACATCTTTACATTTAAAAGAGAATTAGTTTGAAGTTTCAACAAAATTCAGCCTAACATAATTATGGTAAAGAGTGTTTCTTGTGTCAAAATATCTGTGCAACGAGATTTGTGTCCTTTAACTATTAATTTAAGGCCGTTACCTAAGAAGTAAAATAAGGTAATCAGAATATATTTGAAAGAACATTAAACTCAGATTAAGAAGACCTGAGATTAAGTTCTCATGCTTCCTTTTACTATGTGCCTCTCTGGTTTCAATGTTCTCCTCTCCAAATTGGGGGCGTGGGTGTTGAATAACCTTTAGGGTCTCTTGGGACTGTAGCATTCTATGACACTGCGTTAGTAGTTTGTAACAAGTGTGCAAATTAATTTGTCAGCCTCAGATTCTGTCGGTCTCTTTCACCTGGAACTACCCATCTGCCGTCCTCATCCCAGCTGTAGAGAAAAGAGCAGCCACATTTGCCTCCATTTTCTAAGACCAAGGTGCTGAAAAATTACTACCCTAACAGCCAAGGACCAAGATGGAAGCTCTTCTAGCTACACTCTTTGTAAACACAAAAAATGATGACTTTTCAGAGCTCCTTTAGCAATGGCTCTCTGGCTTCAACCCACCTCCTTACTCCCTATGGATTGATGATACAGGATTGCTCTTTATTTGTTTAGGCACGGCTGAAAAAGTCATGGTCAGCAGCTCAGTTTTGGGCACTCTGCCCAGAATATGTATGTGAGTGGTTCCTATGCATTAAGCAAGTATGTATGTTGTGTTCATTTGGACCCAGCCACTTTGACTGATTTAGAGCTTCAGTAGATACAGTTACTCTGTCATGGCTTATAACGGTGCTTCTTAAATATGAGACAACTAAAAGCAAATGAATGCTGGAATTGCTTCACCGTGGCTTATGAGGGCTGACGACTTATCAGGAATTGTGTGAGCTGATTGTTAAGTGCAGCCATTATTAAAAATTAAATAAAATAAACTTACAAGTAAAGTATACTACAAACAAAGATCATAGGTATTTAAAACACATTATTTTCCAATTATTTTCTTTATATTTCTTAAAAATTTTTTTAATGTTTATATATTTTTAAGAGAGAGACAGAGCACAAGGAGGGGAGGGGCAGAGAGAGGGAGACACAGAATCTGAAGCAGGCTCCAGGCTCTGAGCTGTCAGCATACAGCCCAACACAGGGCTCGAACCCATGAACCACAAGATCATGACCTGAGCCGAAGTTGGATGTTTAACCAACTGAGCCACCCAGGTGCACATCTTTATATTTCTTAATCACTTTACTCTATATATCAATGCTCTTGATGTTACATGCATCTATTATACCTGTGTAGTGGAAATATTATATTATGTAATGATTTGTTACTGCACATTTCTTACCAACCATACATTCAGTGACCTCAGGTTGGTAGCTGTGAATAGACCATGATGGGAGTATTTACACCACAGAAATCAGCAAATGCTACTGACCAGACCTTGATTTGTTACTTTGTTGATGTCTAGACCTAAGAAATTAATGGGGTGAATGTTACTAATACAGATTATATTTAAATGTGTGGGGGCTCCTCTGTGGCTCAGTTGGTTAAGTGCCTGACTCTTGATTTGGGCTCAGGTCATGATCTCATGGTCATGGGATCAAACTCTGTGCTATCAGCATGGAGCCTGCTTGGGATTCTCTCTCCCTGTCTCTCTGCCTGTCTCTTGTGCGTGCACTCTCTCTCTCTCAAAATAAATAAATAAACATTTTTTTAAAAAGTGGGTAGCACCAAAAAGTGAGGAAGTATGATTCCAGTATTCGAAAACATTTATATATTTCAACAAAAAATTACTCATGTCATTGATGAATGAGTGAAGTTCCAATATTGTCTTCATTGCCTCACATTTGTGGAACAATTACTCTTCCGTGTAATAAAAATATCAACCAACATTCACATAAGAACTACATGTGTTATTCAAAGGCAGACATAGATTTTGGCTATGAATGCAATTCAATATCCGTACAAAATCGATACAAAATCCGTGAAGGCATTCTGTGGGAACCAATCAGCTCTACAGAATTGGAAATAAAGAGTATTGGACATTTTATTATTTATAAATTGCAGGCTGCACATTATATTGGTAAAAATTTATAATGCATTTATGTACATATAAATATACACAGGTTTTTTTTTCCTCAGAAAGCCTGTAATTGAACATTTTTTTGCATACCACTGACTCAAACCTCTATTTCAATAAAACTTCCTTATTCCTTCTTGAGACCTTCTGGTTGGCCTGTTTGCTGGGGCTGACACAGTCCTCTGCTGAGGCCATGCCTCCTGATTTGAAACTGTGTTTCAATAAGTTCTTAAAAATCTTTCTTTCCTAGAATTCCCACACCGATGACTCTGCTTCATCTCAACATATTTTGTTGTTCCTGATTCCCATTGGGTCTTGGCCATTGGAGCTGGGTTTTGATTTGTTATAATAGAAAAGAACTGCCATCTCCTTGGTCCCATGTGTTTTAAGGGAAGTTCTGCTAAAATAACCCTCCCCACCCCAAACCTCTGTCTCCAACCTTATCACTTTCCACTTAACCTACTGATAAGTTGGGAGGAAGAACTGAACTTGCTTGATTAACTGTGGGCCTAGAGAATACATGAATTCTTGGTTCTTCCTTGTGGTAAGCTTCTAGGAACACCCTCTTTACATCAGGCAAAGGCCTGTAGTTTGGTGATGCAAATTTATATTCGGGGTGTAGTGTAAGGAAGCTTGATGTGGCCCCATAATTCAAGATATTATATGTAATCAATTGTATTAATAATAAAAACGACATTCTGATCTTGGATTGTCACCTTCATCTTATTTTTTAATAGGTTCTAAAGTCAGGAGGGAAAGTTATTTATGGGGTCTCTAAAACCGTGTATGTTAAGGCACCAAGGTCTTGAAGATGAGAATAGATCAGCCCTAGTTACAGCTGTGTATCCATCCTCTGTCTCTCACAAGCTGATTCCTCCCTGTTTGAATCCACCCAACTCTTAGTAAACTGGCTTTCTAATCAGATCTTGTGGTATCTAATCTGTCTTCATCTCTCTGATCCTCATGGCTTTGGTGATAATCCAGCTTCCAAAGCTCTCCTAGCTTGATGTCTTTCACTCTGACAGGTCCCGTTTTCTTTCGACCTTTGGAGTCACACAGACCTGAGTTTGAATCCTAGCTCTGTCATTGATGAGCTAAATAACCGTGAGTTTAAATTTTCTTAGATTCTAAATCTGTAAAATGGGTGTTAAGTGTAGAGCTAATCTCATAAAGTTGTTTGAAGATTGTGCAGGTAAATATGCAAAGATTTGACATAGTCCCTGACAAATAATAAGTACTCAAAAAATGGTAACTACAACTTTTTTCCTTCTTCCTCTCTCCTGCCTATTAGAATTCCTCAAACTTTAGACCATGGTCCTCTACCATTTGCATTATTGAGCATTATTCCCGTTTAGAGCATTATTGAGCCACTTGGCTTTAGCCAGCACATTCTTTAATGATGTACAAATCTCCACCTCCTTCTTGGCCTTTTCAGTGGAGTGCTATCATGCACATTTTTGACTGACATTAAGACATTGCATATGACATATCCTCCTGTCTGGGACCTGACAACTCCCCAATTAGTATACCCTTCCAACTTGTTCATTTCTGTCAGTGGCACCCCCATATGTCCTTGATCTCAGTGTTGAAAGTTACATTCTTTACTCCGCATGTCTGAGTAGTCATTAAACCCTACTATTCTTTCTCAGAGCTTCAGTTACCATCCATTCTCAGGACTGACAGTGAAGCTAACTGAGAAGCCGTTTGATACACCCCCATTCAGCCTCCTCACTGTTCTCTGACCTTCATATCCTTGTTTTCTCCTTTGTGCTTTTGCTCATGATGCCCAAGGGACACTTGATGATCTTTAAGTTAGTCTTTTATTATTTACTGGCTTACATTGCTCTCTCTTTGAAAAATGTGTATCTTTTCTCTTCAACTAGGCCGTAAACTCCTTGAAGACAAAAAACAGGTCATAAACTTCTCGGAATTACTGTCATACTGCTAAACACAGCACTCAATAAAGGCCTCCTAATGGAATGAATTGATTGAATATAACCCTTTCTTGTTAAGAAAATGTAATAGCCTCCTATGGCCTGTGAAGTCAGTCCCAAGCTCATCAGACTGGCAGTGCAGGTGCACTGTCAGCTGGTTCCATCTTACCTGCTCTGAACATCAGCACTTTCCTGACATGGGCCCTCCATTCCGGTGACCACACACTCACACACTCACACACACACACACACACACACACACACACACACGGCATTAGAATGATAATCTTTCTGCCTCACTTTTGCCTGGGGCCTCAAGCCAGTAGGTACTTAACAGCCCACACTAAAAAATGCAATTCTAGATCACTTATGACAGACTTGTAAAGGAGGTGGGGAAATCCAGTGTTGCGTCCCTTTGGCCAGCAACAGTAGGCTGAGGTTGGAAAGGACTGGGAAAGCAGGAAGAACTTCTCTTTGGATAAAGTTGTTTGAGGGCAAAGGCATGTGTCCCTTGTAATGTCAGCAATGGGGGGCTTTCTCTGCATCTCAAGTCCAGTGAAGAGAACTCCACAGTTTTCTGGAGTTTCAAGGGAAAAATGGAACCGATGTGTAACTCACAATGAGAAAATTTAAAGGTGAAAGTCTGTGGCTGGGGCTGCTTGTCTGTGGCAAAGGAAAGAAAGGGGAGTAAATTGGGAGTCCAGAGTACTTTTGCTGCAGGTTGCCTATGGACCAGTTGGCGGACACATTGCAGAACCAGTTGGGTCCCTTTGAAATGAAAATAGGCCGTACTCAAAGGACTTCCGGAGAGGCCAATTTGGCAGAGAGAAGCTGGAGGTGTTCAGGTGGACACAGAAGCTGTTGGGAAGGGGTGAGGCTTGTCAGGGCAAGATGTGCATTTCATCAGGCTTCCACCTGCTTCGTTAGCACCTCGTTTTCACTTGCTCCTGAATGTTGAAGGGAGGTCCTGTGATTTTATTAATCTTCCCATCCGCCTTGGGGCTGGCAGTGTGTTTGAAAACTCAAAGGCGGGAGACTTCGCAAAAGCGTTTGAAGGCTGCAAGGAGCCTAACAGATCCATCAGTTCTTGGTGTCTTTGTGGGAATGAATGAATCGTACATGTGCGTTGAACAAATAAACCTGTCTGCTTCCTCTCCAGGTGATACAGGCCTGCCATTCTTGTCCCAAAGCAATCGAAGTTGTAGTCAATGCCTATGAACACATCAGGTGGAACGTGAAGTGGAAAAGAGCCATCCCAGATGATGACTTGGAGGTAGCGAATCCATTTGCTTCCCATGGTTTTCACTATAAAGTAGTTCAAGACTGCAGTGGAAGTACAGAATGTTCTAATTGAAGAACTGGCTTTCAGAATGCCTGTAAGACCTACTCGAATATTTATTTGTCACATGAAGCATATGGCTATAAAATGCAGGTGTGAGAAGAAGAATAAATAGATGCATCAAGTCTGTAGTGTTTGAGAATGTCTTGGGGGACTTTTCCATTTAAGGGCATGTTGAACAATGGTACAGAGGTGACGATTTTACTTTCTCCTCAATAATCTAGATACTTGAATAATAATGTAATAACAGTAATAATAATAATTGCAATTGCTCATATATAATATTTTTGCCAGAAGATGTGTCTTTCATGTAGATCGTGTCATTCATTTTTCAACAGCTTGAAGCCTTGAAGTAGGAAGGAGCCGTATTAAAAATCCTTAATAAGTTCTGCAGAAAGCCATTGACAAAGCTGAGTTCCCACTCGGCAAATGGACTTTGCTCCCTTTGCAAACCAGTCCTCCCACAGAGCCTCCTGTTCTTGGTTTTAGCCCTCGCAGGCTGTCTCCAACGCGTGGGGAGGTATCAGGAGAAGAGTGCAATGTTCATGCAGCTCAGAGCCCGGCCGCCTAGGTGCAGTCTGATTCTGCTACTTTTTAACTATCTTACCCTTAAAAAGTCACTTAACCGGCTTTAGTGTCATTAATAGAATAAATATCTGAGCGTATGGGCCACATAAGGCATGTCAAGTGTATACAATAGCATTTAGATTAATTTCACATTGCCCGTTTTGATATACACTGGCTCAGGCAGTTCACATAAGTATATTTTATCTCATTTCCTGGGTTCGGAATTGTGGCATAGAGTACTATATCCCCCTCGTCTCTCTTCTCTCCTCATGCACCACCATCTCAGCCCCCATCCCAATTTCGTGTTTAATTTTGTCTCACTGTGGGAGATGCTAGAAAGCAGCCATTGTGTACGAAGTAGGGACTCACTGCCTCATTGTGGATTTCTTTTGAAGTAGACTCCGGGGCTTTTCTGGTTTTAACCTGTCTTGCTTTTTCCTTTGCAGAGATACTGGGATTTTTACCACTCTCTCTTCACTGTGTGCAGTAACTCTCCGAGGACTCTCATGCATTTATCGAGATGCGCCATTCGAAGAACGTTGCACAACAGATGTCACAGAGCAATTCCTTTGCTTTCCCTCCCATTGTCATTGAAAAAGTACTTGCTTTTAGAGCCAGAGGGAATCATTTATTAAGCCTTACGAGACAGAAGTTCCCAATCCTAGATATTTAAGTGGACTCACCGGGTAGACACAGTTTGCATAAATAAAACGGTACTTGGGTTGATTATAACACTTCAGGGATTTCAAAACACTTTACAAACTCCATGTCATTAATCCTAGGGTATCATGGTGAGGGGAAATAAACAAGAAGTAAAGTTAAGGAATTCTCAAAGACAAGAATGGATCCAGAAGGTACCGACAACAGTGATAACTAGTGTGTATAGTGTTTTTACTTGGTGCCTGATACATTTTTGTAAAACTTTTCATATATCATCTCAATTGAAATGGGACCCAGGTTTTCTTACAACCAATCTCGTTCTCTCCCTTGTCAGTAATAAGTTTACATTACTGTCGAGTTAGCAAAATCATAGGCTTTTGTGACTGGCCTCTTAATCTCGGTGTCTCCCCCCACCCTCCCTCCTGCCACCGTAACCACTTAGCAGAGAGTACTGTCACTAGTTTTGCAAACTCCGATCCCCACTCTAAGCTCTTTAACTTATTTCTTGGTGAAGAGAGCACATGAGCATAGTCAAAACAAGGAGATTTTGAGTTAAATTTGAAACGAAAAGCAAAATCTACTTAATAGTCAAAAAATGGACATTTCAACCCATGCTTATTGAGCCAGAGACTGGAGAAGCAAAGATGAGTGTAAGGTGAGGACTCCTGCCCTCCAGAATCTCACCGCTTAGCAGAGCATCCGGACATACGAGCAGGGAACTGCAGTGTCAGATGTCAGGGGCAAGAGTACAGGTGCAGACTCATTTTTAGCGCTTGTCTTTCAAAGTCGTGTTTCTGACCCGAAGTGTGGTTTTCCTTTGAAGCATGAATATTAAGAGTGAAGGGACTGTGTGACGTAAAGGGAGCTCCTGCTGCTGTTAGTGTAAATGTATTCACTTTCAGTTTCTCCCAACATCTAGAAACTTTTTTTTTTTATTTTAGTAGGACTTCCTGTTCAGTGCTCCCCTCGGGAAAAATATTGCACACTCAGTGGCTCCCCTGTATGCCACAAGAAAATTTACTAAAAAGTGTACCAGAAAGTGTGTGAAGGGAAGAACTTAAGTTGGTTACTTGGCCTCATTGTGTACTACCCTGACATTTCAGAGCATCTTAGCTGGAAGATGAGGAACGCTTTGCTAGCAATGGCTGGCTACAGAAAGCAAATCGAGAGACTTTTTGAAAACGGTAAAACTTTGAAAGACTTGGAAAGAGAAGTATGCCAATCAGGCTTGTTAGTTAGCGGTTTGCAGAAAGTGAAATATAGTTATTAACCTCTGGACCTCAGGGTTTGTGAGGCCAAGTTCGCTTCACTTTTTTGTTCTTGCTAATCATTTTCAGACAAGACCATTGCCTCTTAGCACCATTTTTTTAGAGGTTAGAGCAGAAGTAATTAAGCACAAACAAATCCGTTTGCCAGTTGTGGGCAGGTTTCTTTTATTTGTGTGGTTCTTCATCTTATTTAACTTTAGATGCTTGAGTTTTGAGTAGAGATGATGTCACATATTCCGCGAGCCCACCACCTAGACTGTGCTTGTAGACTGGGATTTTCATACGCCCTGAGCTCTGTAGGAAAAATCATGAGTAGGTGCAATAACCTTTCTGGTTTTCTTCAGTTTTACTCAAATATTTTGAGAGGACTGTTCTGGACTAAAACAAGATCTATACATTGTGGAATAGGTTGCTGAATTTGTATAAACTAGTCATGTGAAACATGGTCCTTCAGAAAATGGTTTGCTTGCACCAAGGGGTGCTGGGGGGAGACACATGTTGCCCTCACCTTCAGGAATATCTGGCCAAAACATTTGTGATGCACTGTCTTTGTCAATAAAACTTAATGCTGAGGGCAAGGGGAGAGGATATTCCTTGCATTAGAAAACATTTCTCAATCTGCTTGCTTGTACTTAAACATTTTATGTTAATTAGCACATAATACAAGCCTACTTGTTTTGAATTGTTTACTCGTACATTTAAAAGTTATTTCTCCTCATCTCTGAACTTTTATTTAGAGGACTTAAATAAAGCCCTCGTTTCCTTTCATCTTCAGGAGTTGTTTATTCACCGACCAGACTTTTTTTTTTTTCCAATTGACTAAAGTGATAGACCTCTGAAGAGCTCTACATGTGTCATTGCTTTCTTCAACATTTAGAAAGAAAAAGAGGATGAGGAAATGTGCCTGTAAATGAATAATATTTTCAAAAGAAAGTAAAGGGTAAACACAAATAAAAGGCAGGCAGTTGCTGTAGGAACAAGAGTATTTTAAAGATAATAAAGAAATGGTATCAGATCATTCTCTCCCACCTGTCACCATCTGTGTCCTCCTGGGCTTTTCATTTGTCTTCATTCTCCCCATTCACGTAACCCGGAGCAACAGCAACAGAGGAAATGATGCCACTTTTGTAACTTTTTGTAAATAGTCATTTAGTGACCTGAGAAAACAGACCTCTTCATTTTCGTAAGTTACATGTGAGGAAGGATCTTTAATTCCAGGGAAGACCATCTATCCAGCTTTCTCCCTTCTCAGGATCTAGACACATTTCTTTTTAAAAAAAATTTTTTTAAATATTTATTTATTTCTGAGACAGAGAGAGACAGAGCACAAGCTGGGGAGGGGCAGAGAGAGGGGGAGACACAGAATCTGAAGCAGGCTCTAGGCTCTGAACTGTCAGCACAGAGCCCGACTCGGGGCTCAAACTCAAACCATGAGATCATGACCTGAGGTGAAGTCAGACGCTCAACCGACTGAGCCACCTGGGTACCCCTAGACACATTTCTTGATCATGTAGTGCTACATTGTCATTTGGTCCTTCCGTCCTGAATTCAGGGGCTTCTAATAAAAAACACAGCAGTCAAAAGCTGATTGTACAGACAAGAAAAGTAACAAACCATTTGCATTGGGTTATCAATGCTGGAAAAAACAGCTGAGCTTTATATTTTTGTTACTCACCCGATGGTGAAGAACTCAAGTTTTAAACTGGCACACCTTCAAAACTTAAAAAAAAAAAGACCTCAATTATTCACTGGTTTTCTTTAAAACACAGACACCATGGCTAGTATCTGGAAGATAATCACTGTCACTTTCCTTAGGAGTATAAACGGATATATTCCAGGTAGATGTTAAGAGTCCTGGCTCTGGTGCCTATCTATCTGGGTTCATTTTCTGCCTCCCAACCTTATTCGATCCATTATCTAGGGATATGCTTCACGCCTCAGCTTTCTCATTTATAAAATGGGGATAATATGGAATCTATATCATAAAAGTTGTATATGATTGCTTTGAGGTGTAAAGGAGGAAAGAGTTTTCCTTGACTCTCTTAGGGTCTCAGGTTGGGTCTGAAAATTAAACTGACGAAGATTATAGGAGAAAAGCATACAAGTTTTACGTGACACTGGACCCTTCATAAGGAAATGAGGATCTGAAGAAACAGAACTGAGTATGGTTATGTTACGCTTGATAAAGAGTGGGCAGCTGTGTAGAAAATATGACAGGTCCTTAAGGAGCATGAGGGGAAAATTAGCCAGCCCTGTTTGTTAGGATTCTTCTTTGGTGTTCCTTTGTTTTAAAAGATAAAGATGAGTCTTCCCTCCAGGTACAGGGAGGGCACCTCCCAGGGGAGGTGTGGGGTAGATCAGAGCCACCTTCTTGCTTCTGTTGCTTTCTCAAACTCCTTCAGCTTAAAATATCCAATATGCCAAAGTATCATACTTTGGGGTGGCATGTCCTAAAACCCCATCAGAGGGTTAAATTGCTTATACATTAAAGCACATAAAATAGTAAGCATTTTATTATCATTGTCCTTGTTACTTTTTTTTTTAATATGAAATTTATTGTCAAATTGGTTTCCATACAACACCCAGTGCTCATTCCAACAGGTGCCCTCCTCAATGCCCATTTCCCATCCCCCCTCCCTTCCCCCCCCCATCAACCTTCAGTTTGTTCTCAATTTTTAAGAGTCCTTGTTACTTTCATAATCATTATTATTTAGGGAGAGGCTTCTTCCAATAAGGTGATGTATTCTTAGAGTGAAACTATCACGTTGTCAAATATTTCTGGAGCTCCTACCGTGCACTAGGCACTTTGCTCAGAGCTGGAATCAGTCAGGGAAACAAGACAAACTGGGTCCTTGACCTTCTTGGGCATTTTTTGAGGTGGGGGATGAAGGTCTAACTAACATGGATTTGGACCGTTAGCAAACAAGTGAATTAGTTACTTTAGGAAACTTTGCCCTTTCGTAAATGGGTTTATCGAGGAGGTAATGGCTCCTTTTACTATTTCATGAGGGTTATGGAGTCACTCGAACTTCATCATGTGGACAGAGAGCAGCTGTCTTCATGTTTCCATCTTCAAAGAGGGAAAGAGTTGGAGGAGGTTAACTTTGTAGCAGAAGGAATGTAGGTTAGCATAAGATTCCTACAGGTGAGGGTTATTGCACATCAGAATGAATGAACAGGGAGGGCTGAAGAATTTCTTTCAATTATTCTTTCGCTTTCAAGAATTTATGCAGTACTACTAAAGGTGTGGTTCTACGAAATAAGTGGAAGGAAGAAGGGGGTGTTGATGCCAATTCGCTGCAAGATTCACCATCAGTGGCACAATGTTTCTCTTCGTTTTCCCTAAAAGGTAAGAATAAAAAATATACTGTGTTTTTTTTTTTTAATTAGGTACTATCTACCTGAGCTATTTTTCTGTCAGCCTGCCATAAAATGGTTGATGCGAAATGGTTTTCAACACCTATATTTTGATGATAAACTGCCTGCTTTCTATTTTGAGTCATACTTATCACCCATGCAAAGCAATACATGAAATATGAAAAAAGGATCATTCAAAAAACAGTTGCTTTCTTTCCCCTTCTTTCTCTCTCTCTTTTTTTTAGCAACACTAAGTGGATTAGTGTGCTTAAAATTCTTCTTTAGTAATTGGTTTTCTCAGATATAGGTACGCTTCAATGATATTGGATAACAATTATGCAAATATATGCTAATCCAGCCAAGGAAATAAAATAATGATGCCACCTTGTACGTCCTAGATTAGAGACACTGGAGGACTAGTTCTTAGTGCTTATCGAGCATAAAGAATTGACAACAGAACTCTCATGGGGAGTTTAAGGATATCTTAGAGGTAGAAGTTAAGTACCAGGGGTCTTCTCAAGGTTCAGGAGCCCAGACACTGTCCACAGTCGCAAAGGAAGACGTTTACTCACTACCCCATTCCGTATTCAGGGGAACTTAAAAGTCAGTGTTTGGGTGACCAAAAGTGGGAACCAGGGGAGGTTATGATCAGTTTGATTCCAACAACAAGTCATACAAACGAGCTGCACTTCGAAACATAAACTCTCTCTCTTTTGGGTCCTGGCTGGACAGCATGCATGGGCTGTGTCAGCTGAACCCCTGCCAGCCTGGCTTCCTGCTGGGTTCAGTCAATGGCAAGACCAACTGAAGACTGAAGGGCAAGAGGAAATGGAGACTGGGACACTTCCTGGTTCCTTTCTTGCTGAGCCTCCTCTAGATGGCAGCTGAATTCCTTTCCCAAGGCACAGCTCCTGTGAGGAGCACTTCTGAGCTACTGTGTCCCTTGGATTATACGAACTGCTTCCTCCACTTGTTTCTCCAGACCTAAGGGTAGCAGACGCTTCTTCCTGTTGTCTGTGTCCCAGGCACTTCATCATTCTTTGCTACCTACGCTTCTATGCATTGTAGTGATGACATTATCTTCAATCACCCCTTCTGAGTGTGCAATTCATTTCCTCTAGGGATCTTGACACGCACAAGCACAGGGAAGTGACAAGTTAGTGACAGCCTCGGTGGTGGTCCAGATGGTAAGAGCTGTTGGCCTTGAGAGAAGACAGAGGTCACTGTGAGCAGTGGTCAAGCAAGTGGACTTACGCTGTGACCTGAAGAGGGGTGGGGTTTGAGTAATAATTTGAGTAAGAGCAGGGCAGTGGAGAGGGAGGCATTTAAGGTAAGTCAGTAGCCTCTGTGAAGGGTTAGGGTTGAAATGTATGACAAGTATTCACCATCACCAATTAGACAACCTTGATGGAAGCAGAAGATGAATCTTTGTCGTAGAGAGTGGAAGATGAGGTTGGCAGGGTGGGGGCAGGATTAGATTATGAAGTATCTTGAACAATGGGGAAACACCATGGGAAACCAAGAGAGTACTATTCTTATCATAGTTACTTCTTTTTCTAACGACGTAACTTTTATGATAGTTATGACACAATATTATGTGTCATAATTATGTGAATAATTATGACACAACCACATAACATTTATATGGTATTTTATCATGTTCAGAGCACTTTCATGATGCTTGATACAGATAACTGCCTTTATCATTCCCCTCTTCTTCCCTGCCTTCCCCAATACAATTCTGAAGATTTAGACTTGAAAAAAAGTCTAAACATGACATTAATTAACCCTTTTCTTCTCATGTAAAGCACTCCAATCATATGGAATGATCTACTCAAGCAAAGAAGAGACTATATAACCTTGGGGTTTTTTTTTAATATCAAAAGCTAAAGAGTGTGATGTTTTTAATGTTTTTTTGTTTAATGTTTATTTATTCTTGAGACAGAGACAGAGCATGAACAGGGGAGGGGCAGAGAGAGAGGAAGACACAGAATCTGAAACAGGCTTCAGGCTCTGAGCTGTCAGCACAGAGCCCGACGCGGGGCTAGAACCCACGAACTGTGAGATCATGACCTGAGACGAAGTCGTCAGACGCTTAACCCACTGAGCCATCCAGGCGCCCCAAAGAGTGTTTTTTTCACTTGCACTGGGACACGGGCATGGAGGGAAGGAAGTCTTCCTTCCAGCACATACGGGGATGAGGGAACAGAGACAAACTTTGAAGTTCTAGGACTGCATATAATTCTCTCCATGGCAGTGTTCAAAGGATAAATTGTTCCCAGAAGTACTGACATGATTAGGTCCTTCAGGGGCCCCAGGACTGCTGACTCTGCTCAAGTCTGAGCAGCAAGGAAAGACCTCTTAGGATGATCCATTCAGGAAAGCTTAGGCAGCTGCAAATCGTTTCTAAG